CATTTGGGCTGGATACCTGGACCATGGGAAAGTGGGCACCAAAATACTCTCTCAAACATACTGATGAAGATCTTGTCTTGGCATTTCCCAAGTCTGTGTTTATACAAGAAACGAATCAACATGCTGTATAAACAATGGTAAGCCTGATTCTAATATTGGAAACTCTACTGGGCAGCTCCGTTTGCTGTGCAGGGGATTCTCCCGTAGGAAATGGGAGTATCCTCCTTGCTTTGGCCTAAAAGCAGCCTTCTGGTGGACATCAGTATAGCCTCCTTTATTCAGACACCAAATGGACAAGGGTTTCCCCATCAGTTCAGTCTAGTTATACACTGGGGCTCTTCTGAGCTTGGCTACTTTCCTACAGACTGGAAAATGGGGGACCTTGCACCTGGATTAGACGGCCAACAGTGCAGAAGTGTCAGTATTTTCTGATGCTTCTCATTGGCATCAGCATATAGATGGACATTGTGAGGTCACAGTGGCTATCATCAGATGACAAAGCCGAGATGAGATTTTGCAGTGTGTAGGAGGCAGACTTTTTGACTTCAAGGTCCCCTCCAGTTCTACCATCCTAAGATGACACACAAGGCATCCAGAAGGGGATACCAGGAAGGATCCTCCACAGTGTGCTCCACCCCACCCCCCGCCCCCGCCGGTTCCTGAAGACACATCTAGAGTGAGTCCACCTGATGTACTCCCCATTTACCACAGAGGACACTCCCGGGGAAGAGGCCTGTCCCTTCTGTTTGGTAATGGGCTGATTTCAGGAATGATACCTTCACTGTAGGGGTCCACTGCAGCTGTGGGTGTCCACTGTGGCTGTGAGACATGGCTGTGCACAGAACTGTCATCTGTGCCAGGCTAATGAGGAGTGACCCAGCCTGTGTTCTGTGAACACAGTGGAGGGCAGGCGCATTAGTTATAGACTAGAGGGTACTGGGTCGAGGCAGCAGTGGTTCATTTTAAAACATCATGTGTTACTTGGATCATCTCTGTATTACCCAGCACTCCCACAGATTGCTCATTAAAGCTTCCCTGTCACTCCTTAGCTGTGATGTTCCCTCCTCTCTCGGGACTCCCAAACACAGGGGCTATGTCTAGGACAGCACAGGGTGTACAGCACAAATAAATGAGCTTCATGCAAAAAGAAACGAGTAGGTATGGCTATGCCTGTTACCTTAACAGTGGTGATGGTTTTGGAGGCAAGGGGTATGTTCATGTCCAAGCTCATCAATGTGTATGCCCTAAATATATGCAGCTTATATCAACTAGACCTCAATAAATTTGTTTTAAAATGTAATAATTAAATGAGCATTTGTGTCCACCCCCTTTATTAAATAACAACCTGCCCTGGAACAGAAACTCTGGTATACATATCTTTTTCCAAGTGACTTTTTTGAATTCATAAAGCTGTTCACCATTATTAAGTGAATGCTTTGTGACTTATCTGTAAGATAGAATCCCTTCTCCCTGGATGTTCAATTGGGAGAGAACATGGCTTCTTCTCCACCTCCTCTAGACTGGAAATGCAGGGGGTTGCCACAGGGGTTAGGAATGTGGTGAGAAGTGGCTCTATGCCCCAAGGTGGCTCTATGCCCCAAGTTGGCTCTATGCCCCAAGTTCAGTTGGCACCAGCCCATGGCACCAGCCCATTGCACCAGCCCTGGGGACAAGCTGTCACCCCACAGAACCAGAGGAGAGACTCTGACCCACCCCCATCACAAAAATGAAAGCTGAGCAGTCACTAGACTCCTCTGGTTGCCAAGAGCTTCCCAGATCTGGAGTTAGAGGCCTCACTGACCAGCCAGCATGCCTCCCACCAAAAGGAGACTGAGATGCAGCTCATGCAGTAACTATTTCCTCAGCCCTTGTTTAGATGTGGATGTGCACTCAGTCCTGACTCCAAACCATCACCCGCCTGACCCCTTTCCAAAAACACCAAATAAGTCAAAGGCCAAGGCACTTAGCTCTGCATAGATATTTTAAATTAATCTGGAAACAACTTAAAAGGACTGCTTTTCTCCCCAGCCCCACACCCAGCACATTTTCTGTGGCAGCTGGGTCAAGCTTGAGCAGCATTTTCACCACTGACTCAATGTCAAAATATTCCCAGGCTGCCCTCTTCCCATCATCCTTCCCACTCCCTCTGTTTTGGTTTTAATATTCTGTCTCCCTCCCACTCTTGTGCATGCACATGTGTGCACACACACACACTTCTTTATAAGGTATGAGCACACCCTAGACCAAGGATTCTAAACTTGGAGTCCACAGACAGAATTCAGGATTGTGTACTTAGATGGGGAAAAATTTATTTTCATTAACTTCTAGCTGAATTATCTAGTATTCCCTTCCAGCATAAGCCCACAATAGTATTAGCCATACCACTCCTGACACCAATAGAAATACACACGTTTCCACATCACATCAGGGTGGCTCCCCTGAAATAGACTTAGGCTTATCACTATGTCAAATTTTTGATAGCTATTAGACTTCAAGTAGATCTTATTATTTAGCCTGTTAATTAAGTAGTAGTACATGTCACTGTTATTTTTAAAATTTTTAATAACTACATTTTAAATAATTGTTTTCTATATTTTCACTAATATTATTCTGAGAAGGAATCCATAAGATTCAACAGAACAAAAAGGTTCATGGCTGATAAAGGTTCAGAACCCCTGCTGAAAAGTGAGCATTAAAGGTGGGATTTGAACTCTTCTCTAGAATCATCAAGGCATGGATCAGGAGACTGAAGGGCTAAGAGTGGTATTCAGGTAACATGAGGCAGGTTCTGGGAGCAGAGGGACAGTAGGGTTACTAGATAAGAGCCTAGGTGGGCTTTGGAAACAGACTACCGGTGCTATCCAGTCAGAAGTGTGTGTTTGGGAAAACCATGCCATCTGAGTTTCTATTTCTTCATCTATAAAATAGGAAAAATAATGTACTACACAATTCTTGTGAGCATGAATTGAGAAGATACATGTCTGAGAACAATGACTGCTCAGTCGAATGGAAGGGAAGCTCTCCCTACCCAAGGACTTCTGAGGCTAAAGGATTGTTCTAAAAGGGCAGCCCTCCCTACCCAAGGACTTCTGATGCTGCTTATTTTGTTTCTGAGATTGGTATCATCTCTGTCCCAGGCAGGCTTCAAATGTACTTGAGATTCAGGGATACTCTGAAGGACCCCAAATCTAGCAGCACTTCTACATAAACCAAAGTCTTCTATTCCCCTCCTGTCTCTGGCTCACTGAAACAGACACCAATGCGAAGCTGCAAAGCTTGCCTACCCCAAGGAGAACAGATCTCTAGTAAAAAGGAAGTATTTCAAACCTCCGCAGCATTGGCCATAGGTGTCAAGTACCTGCTTCTGGTTTCACAGCAACTGGCTCCTGACCTGTCTTCTTGTCATTCAGTAAAGTGCATAGATAGATTCCACAACCCAAGCTGCCCCTCCCAAGCAGAACAGGCCACTGGGCAAGGAGCCCCGAGGAAGGTCAGGGAAACTCCTTTACATGGCTCTTTCAAAAACTTATTCAAGTGAAATTAAAAATTTCTGTTATAGAAAGGGATCTGTGTTCTTTTAAAAACTACATATAATTTATGAACACAAGAAAATCAATATAAGATTAGAAAGCACAAAATTTATACAGAGAAATTAACTATAAACATGCTCTATGGATCTCAAGACTATTAACATTGTCATAGATTTCTTCCTGTTATATGTAAGTTAGAATTGTAATTATATGGAAAGTTTTATATCTTGATTTTATCAGTTTAAAATACCTATAGAGGGTTTAGGGATGTAGCTCAGTGGTTGAGTACCTGCTGGGGTAACCCACAAGGCACTGGGTTCCATCCCTAGCACTGCTGAAATAAGTAAATGAAAATCAATCAATATGTAATCTTTTAAAAATCTAAATAAAATAAAATACCTAGAGATTTTTCAATATGGATCCTTAAAAGACACAAAAGCATCGTATCAGATACTGTTTGTAAAATTCATAAGTTACTGAGAGATGCTATGGTATTCCTAAGAACAGGATGGTGCAATAACTATAAGTCACACCCAGAAAACTGATAGAAGAGAGCCTGTTTTACTCTTCTTAAAGGGTATTCAATAGGAAACTCTTCTTTCTCCTCTTTAGCTTGAAGAGAAGGTATTTTTGTGTCCTCAGCAAAGACACACTAGATGCCATTTTCTTTTTCACTTTCTCGTATCTTATTTTTTCCTGATAAGGGGAAAGCTTTGAAAATTCGATGTTAGGAAAATGGTGTCTTACTTGAGAAAGTGCTCCAGAAAGAAGAGGTGTGGACAGAGAAGCTGGCGACTGGGGGCTGAGCAGGTACTGGATGCACATCAGGTCTGCCATTGCAGGCAGAAGATCAAAGAAGGTTAGCTTCCCTATGTGTCAAGACAGCACCACCTGCCTCACAGCGAATGAAGGATTGTGGAGATTAAATAAGACTCCACATGTGAATGTGCTTTGTAAGTAGCAAAGTACATTGCAGGACAATAGTCACTAATTAATGTTACAGTGGCCACTGCTAGTATTGTTTTTGCTGCTCAGCAGGCTTGAACCATCAATTGCAGGCATGCAGAGGGGCAGTATCTAACAGTGGGTAAGAGCATGGACTCTGCAGCCAGACTGCACTTCAGAGCTTGGGGAATTAACCTCTCAGTTTCTTCACCTGTAAAATGGGATAATGTTAATCAACCTACCTCTAGGAGTTTTGAGAGGATTAAAAGGAATTAATTAACACAGTGCTTAGAACAGCACCTGGCACATAATACAAGGGTAAACCCTACGAATAATCAGTGATCAATGGCCAAATATAACATAAAAATAAATTTACACCAGCTAAAACTAATAGGCACATTTTTAAAAAAGATTTCAACAAAATTTCTCCCGTCATTAATCGGAGGTGGATCAGCAACCTTCATCAATTTGCCTAAGCAGCTATGCCCCAGCGCACTACAGCTTGGGCTTGGCCTCCCTTCCTACCTTCTCTGCATCCTGCTCGAAGAGTCGTAGCTGGAAGCACTGGTCCAGCTTGAGCTTGCGCACGTGCCACATCTGGTGCAGGTGCTGCCGGGTGGAGTGCAGCTTATCCAGGAGGCTGGTGATCTTGGGCACGAGGCTCTGGAAGTCGGCACTGCCGGGGATACAGTTGCGCCCTGAGAAGCCGTCACTGCAGCGGATGCACTGCAGCAGTCGCTGCCCCTCCCGGTCCAGCTCCTCCACAGGGGCCTTCAGCACCTTTTTCTTGAGCTGCGTGTGCTCGTCAATGAGCCGCCGAGAGCCCTCCACGTCCACTGGGAACTCCTTCCGGGCAAGCATCTCCTGCAGGTCTTCAAGGCGCGAGAGCAGGTGGACCGCGCTGTTGAAGAACTCCTCCAGGGAGAGCCGCAGCTCAATCCACTCCTCGTGGTTGTAGTCCAAGGAGCCATCAAATTCCTCCGTGAGCTGGGAGGGGTCCACCAGCTTTGTGAGGCCCTCCACAGACACCATGCTCGTCTGGAAGAGGCAGACACAGAGTGGGAGTCTCAGTGATGTGGGAAGATGTGGGGAACAGGGAAGACCAGGGCAGAAATAGGCAGGAAGAGGGAAAGGCAAGGGGAAAGGACTAGGTAAGTTCACATAACAATGACCACAGCCTGCCTAGGAAGAGGCAAGTGGGAAACTGTGGGGCCCACCCTTAAGGAGCCACAGGATCAGCCAGGGTCAGTGGTTTCACCTGACAGCAGACTGCCTCAATAAGCCTTTCTACCTGCCTACATTGACATCTAAAGAAAGCCTACCATAGTGTCTCTTCCTCTTCCCTCCTCTCCACCCTGAGTCTACCATATCAGGGCTTCAGATACTAGAAGCAAAAGCTGGAAGGAATATTGACCCCATGTGTGGGGGGTCAGTTTTCTATAGCTGTAAGACCCAGGCCTGTGCGGCCAGGGCAATATCATGGCTGGGTTAAGCAATGTGAGTCAGTACTTGGTACTTGGATTGCAAAGATTTCATAGTCCATTTTCCTGCATCAGGCTGGGGTCAGCTTTGAGGCTTTCCCTGTCAGACTGGCACAGTGAACAAAACGAGGGCTGGGCAACAGAGGAGAGGTTCCAGGCACTGAGTTTTCTATGTGATTCCTATAAGCTTTTGGAGAACAGAGTGGAGAATGTTTGTTTCAAGGAAGCAGAGTGTCCCCAGCAAATCACAGTGCAGGTAGCCACCCAGTCATCAGTACATATCTTTTCCTTCCCATAAAGCTTTGGACTTTGCTGCCCTCTGGCAAAGAGGCTATAAAAGAAATATCTGGGTTTGGAGTTCCCTATACTTACTAACTACGTGATGAGGCAAACTATTTAAGCCTCCAGAGCCTCAGTCTCCTCTCTAATGGAGAAAAAATCAGGTTGAGAAGCCTAATCCGAAACCCAAAATTGAAATGGATTTTGGAGCATTCTGGATTTCAGATTTTTAGATTAAGGAGGCTCAAACAGTAAAGTCTATGCAAATATTCCAAAATCTGAAAAACTCTGGAATCTGAAGCACTTCTGGTCCCAAGCATTTCAGATAAGGGGTACTCAACCTGTACTACTTTCCCCATAGAACTTGTTGGGATTAAGTGTGTCAGTATAAACTCACAGGTGTGGAGTACCTGCTCCAGGCCCATTGGCATTCACCATGATGATCTGATGGCTTCATCATGGCTTGAACCTGTGAAAGTAGTTTGTCTCTGTCTTGCTATTCTCTGAGCATTTTCTCTTCTTCCTTTTCCCTCTATCTACCTCCTAAGACACAGGAAGGAGCTACCATAGGAAGGAGGGCTGCTCTGGAATAGTGCTTCTCAAACCTGACTGCTCATTATAATTCCCTGAGAAGGAGTTTGAGGAAACAAACAACTTACCCCTAGAAATTCTTATTTAATTGTACTAGAGCTTGGGCAGGGTGGTTTTTTTTAAAGCTTCTTGATTCTAATGTGCAGTCAGAATTACAAACCCTGCTACTCTAGATAGTGGCTATTCAAAGCATGGCCTTTGGACCAGCAGCACTGGTATCACTTGGGCTTTTCAGAAATGCAGAATCTCAGGGCCTGCTCCAAACCTACTTGGTCTTGAAGTAGCAAGATCCCTAGAGGATTTGTGTTCATTAAGCTTTGAGAAACCCTATTCTAGAGGACTTTTCCCTTTGAATTTACCACTCCCAGGAAATCCCCATGATTATACTCACCAGTTATTCATTAAGTATCTGCTGTTGAACAATGCTGTACTCTCATCCCTGTATGTCTTGTTGCCTCAGTCTGTGGTAGGAATTCATTTTTTGCTGTTTCTAAGATAGCATTTACAATTATTTTCCTGAATGAGAAGTACTGAGCTATCTTGTCCTGTATCTTTTCTTTAGGAGGCAGAGACAAGTTTGCTGAATTTAGGGTGAAGAAGTTATAGGTGATGGGAGGTGTAGGGCAGCTACACTGAGCAAAAATTTCAAAACTTCCTGAAAATAATCTTTTGCAGGATTGGGGGACATGTACTGGGGATTGAAATCAGGGGCACTCGAGCAGTGAGCCACATCTCCAGCCCTATTTTGTATTTTATTTAGAGTCTCACTGAGTTGCTTAGAGCCTCACTTTTGCTGAGGCTGGCTTTGAATTTGCGAACCACCTGCCTCAGCCTCTGGAGCCATGGGGATTACAGGCATGTGCCAGTGCACCCAGCTGAAAAGAACTATTTTCAGTCTCTTCAGTTTATAAATTTATAAGCTTATTGTTAGCACCTCTGTATAAACAACCCAAAAATATTAAAAGCATTTCCTTACTGGACTCCTAGCATTAAGTAAGGTGCTGGGAGACTATGGTAGTAACTGTTTTTTATACCCAGACAAACTTCTTTCTATTTACAGAGAGTGAGAACTTCCTCAGTCAAGTGTCAGGATATTGTGCTCAAACTGCAGCCAACTGGGGCCACCACCCCACATATAGGTACTCCCACTTCTGGGGACAACAGTCTGGAATGGGAAATGGCTGAAAGAGTAAAAGTAGTGATGCCTTTACAACCTGCATGTGCACATATGTACACACTTCATCTCCTTACAGATGAGAACCAGCATTTTAAATGGGAACAGCTCAAATTTGGCTGGAACAAGGATGTTTAAATCTTTGATTTAATCTGATGTGTTGTTATTAACAATTCTTTGTAACAATGTTTTCCCTGATTATAGAAGTAATGTACAATACAATCCTTAAAAAAAAATGAAGAAAATAAAAATCACCCATTATCCAGCTACCTAGAATAGACCACTGCTAAATATTTTCACACATCTCAGTATTCTCCATAGTTAGAAAACAAATTCCAAATTACACAGCCCATAGTGTTTTATAACCTGGAACATTTTGTGATATTTTCTAATTAATATTTTAATGGTTTCATAATATTTGTGTATTAATATTGCCAAAATTAGGTTGGGCTACAAACTATATATGCATGCATATAGTAATTTATTGTATATGTAGATATGTGTGTATGTACATATTCATTCATGTAAAATACTATGATGAACGTCTTTGTAGACAATTTTTGGTTGTAATTTTAATAAGCTTTTTCACCTTTTTGTTTAGCCTTTTACTATTGTCATGTATGTAAGAAATTTTTTAAAAAGAATCTTTTCCTAGAGGAAGAATTACTAGATCAACCAACATAAACTTGTGACAGCTTTTGACACAAATTGCAACACTGCTCTTATTCCAGTGTCATGCCACCACCATGGGATTGTCCTATAATGCTGTACCCTTGGCACCATCTCTTGAACCTCTTGTTCCTACCCAGCCAGGCTCCATCTGATAAGGCCAAGGAGGCCAAGGAATCCTGAATTCTCAGCCCTTGACATCTTGGATATTGTAGGGTAATTGGAAAAGGAGAAGTGAGAAAAGAGTGAGTGGCAGAGCGGAGGGAAGGGGGGTAGGTAGAAAAGAAGTCAGGCTTACCTCAAAGATGAATTTGGAGCTGCCAAAGTTGGTCTTCTGTTTCTGCCAGAAGTTGTCGGGTTTGATGATGAGGGCCACATGGATCTCAGCTGGAAAGGCTTCCTGTAGTGTTTTGAGGAGGGGCTTGATGAGGTCCCACTTGGAGCCCCGCATGTCGATGATGACGGTGAAGCCACGTTTGCACACGTCCTCACTGTGGGGAGGTCAGAGGTCAGGCATGGTCACTCTGGGCACCTGAGACTACCTGAGTCCTCAGGTAGACATGGCACAGAAGTGCAGGCCTGTAATCTCAACAACTCAGGAGGCTGAGGCAAAAGGATGGTAAGTTCAAGACCAGCCTCAGCAACTTAGACTCCCAGCAACTTAGTGAGACCTTGTCTCACAATAAAAAATTAAAAGGATTGGGGATGTAACACAGTGGTAAAGCATCCCTAGTTTCAATCCCCAGTACCAAAAATAAATGAATAAATGAATGAATGAATGAATGAATAGCACATAGACAAAAAGCACCTGGGAACCTGCATTCTTACAGCCTTCCAACCTCATACTGGGTCTCTGACCCAGCTCAAAATGTACTGCCTCCAAAAACCTTTCTAAACTAATCCCACTGACCAATGGTCCTGACATTCAGCCTTCTGCCTGCACTTAGCAAATAATAGCCTTCCTTAGAGTCCATTTCCTTGTTGGGATGTCTATCATTTTGGTATTCATATTCAATTTTATTTCCCTTTTAATTTGTCTCCTTTTCCTTCCTAGGACGAATCATGTTTTCTCCATTTGCATTCAAATTCTCTAAAGACAGAGACACTGCTGACCCTTAAATCTGAGATGGAACATCCTCAGCAGGAATGCTCTTCTTCCTGGTGTGTCCACCTCTGTAGAAGACACGACTACTCTTCACTGCTGAAGACAAACTGGGTCACAGAATCCTTTTCTATCAAGGGCTCTAGGATGGTTCCGCCAATTGATTAGGGACAGCACACAAACTACTGATAACATGTATTTGCCATCACTGTTATTTAAGAATGTATTACTTGTGGTTCAAAATACATGTCAACTTTACAAAACCAGATTTCTAAGTCATTACAACCACTCAGAGAGCAAGGTTGGGGCTGAACGGGTGGATGCTGAGCTGCTTCTTTGTCTCTTGTTCCCCTACTGCAAGACTTGGGCATGAAAATGTGCAGTTTTAGGATTTGGGGTGGGGATGTGACTCTCAAAATTCAGGCCAGCTGAAGTGACAGGGACCATCTTGAAAACCAAGACAGAAGCAGACTAAGTATGTCAAGATGTTGCTCTGTAACATATCCAGTAGCAAAGTTTATTTAAATACTTAAACTCTGACTATAGCTCCTGAAAACAGAAAGCAGAAAATGAAGCTCAAAAGAGCTATCATATCTCACTTTGGGAAGAAAGTCTATGTTTTGGTAATTAGGGAGTTTTCCTTCTCTTATTTCTGGTTTACTTAACATACCTATTTAATTTGTAAGTCCAAGTAGACTTTGGTGAATTCACATTTCACATAAGTACTAGTGTAGTATTTCCTTGGGGTCTTTCATCTAATTCCCTATTTCCTAGATGGTGCTTGTTTAAACCGCTGTGTCTCTTACGTGTACCTCAGATGTGCCCACCACATAACAGTGGTCAATAGCCACTAGGGATAACACTATAGTTGGAGGATTTAAGCCACAAAAGGGGACAAAAACTTCTTTTCAGCCTTCATTAGTTAATCTCAACCAGTAACAATAATAGAAGAGAGTTTATGTTTTGATTTTATAAAATAAATGGATAGGTTGCAGCTCGTTTAACTGTCGATCTCTCTCTCTTTCTCTCTCTCTCTCTCTCACACACACACACACACACACACACACACACACACACACACACACACACACACACACACACACACGCTCTAGCTCTCAGTTAGGAAATGCCCCAGGTGCTGGGATTCTCTCTAGTGGAGAGGAAAGCTGAGACTTTGTTTCTCCCCAAATTCTGCATCCCAAAGGAAAGGAGCTGCCTCTTCTCCTTCTCTGACACTCAGTGAATCCACAAACGGCCGAGGTCTTCCATTCATAATGTTCTCTGCCCTGTTGTCTGAAGCAATGTGACTTTTGCTTAAATTACAGCATTTATCTCCCATGATAACAGGAATATCTGATAATTACATAAAGCTAAAATATTAAAAAACCTACATAAGAGATGCTAGTGGTAGGAGTTTATAATACTCTGGCCTATGTCCTCTCAATCTTTTTTGTGAATACAGTATTCAGACTACATAGTGGTTTACTTTGCACTGTAACATACAGCTTTTTTCTCATATCTAAAGCTTCTCTGAAACTGTTACACAGTCATTATCATTACTGATTTATAAGAAAATGTATCAACTTTCATCTAACAGCAATGTTTGAAAGTACCCCTTTACTATATCCTAACCAGACCGTCACTGAATTTTTAAAATCTTTTGTCTATTTCTAAGAAAAAAACATTGCATTTCATTTAAATTTGTCTTTGATTACCAGCTATAGTTTATCGGCCCACAATTATTTCTTTTGTGAATCGGTTCACTTATCCATTTTTTCTAGAGAGGTTTAGTGGCTCTTCTCAGTGAGTGAGTTTAGTTTCTCCTGACTCACATCTGTTGCACACCCACTCACATCAGGTGAGTGGACTGCAAGGTGACTGTGGACTCTGCCCAGCTTTAGAGAAAGGGTCTTATTCATTGCCCTGTTCCTCGGGCTCCATCTGTTATCATATTGTTCTGAGATGAGAAATCTATGTCCCCAAAAATGGATACTCAGTGTCACTTCCAATCCTGGAAGTTGACTATCCCAACATCTAAATGTGGTTGTTAGTAGCAGGTTACACACTATTAACTAATCATTTCTGACAACTGAAAGTAGAAACGAGGTACTAATATTCTCCAGAAAGTTCACACTAACTCAGGCAAGGGAGAAAGAGGCCTAGAGCCTGAATGCTGAGAACTAATCCAATTGGCTTCTATCTGGGGAAACAGCCTAATCTCCCCAGGTGCTTTTGGTGTGTCCAGTTTCAGGAAAGAGAAATAGATGAGGGAGGGGACACAACTTTACCACATGCTTACTCTATTCCAGGGACTGTGGGTGACACCATATGTTAATCCTCACAGTAACCTTATAAATTAGGAATGATTATCTCCATTAGAGAAAAATGAAACTGAAGCACAACATTCACTTAAAGTCATCTGACTAGGAAGTGGCCAAGCACAGCAGACCTAAACCCATGCTCAGGTCCCTTTATCACTCCATACCTACCATACAGACACTACATGTGGCTGTAGTCTTTGGAGACAGGCACTGGGGGTCAGCAATGAGGAGATTAGTTGAGGGAGCTCACAAGAGATGAAAGAAGCTAGGGCAAAGGAAGTTCTGGGGAATGACCTCCATTCTGCAATCAGTGCAAAATCACAAAACCAAAGAAACAAAAGAAGATGAAGAAAGTTCAAGCATCTCACTTTGGTTCAGGCACATGAATAAGAAGCAGGAGAATGACACATGCTGCTCTTGGTGCTAGCTATGTTTGGGGCTCCGGCATTTCTCTGCACACACCCTGCTGAGACCATGGAGATCTATGCTACACATCTTCCCCATTTCCCCTTCTAAACCAGGCTTTTAGAACCTGAAATTCTAAAATTCTCAGCCCACAGAGCCCTTAGCCTACTTCCTAGGTTCATGAGCACCTCTTTCCAGGATCCAATCCCCAAGGGCAACTAGCACCACCAGTAGATGTACCCCTAGGCAGAGGGGCGGCAATGGGCTATTTGCAAGTACATAACTAGAAAGACACATGTGAGCTGGAGTGTCCACATGCAGGCATGAGGCCCTGCCATGTAGGATAGATTGGGGAGTAGGCAAAGAAGGCAGATGGAGTGCAAGCTGGGGCTGATCCCCCTGTGCTGCTACGCTTTGACATGGGACTCAGAGGAATCCAACAAGTCTAAATTGAAGATGGCCTCATAGGTTACTACAAGGATAGATTTTTCAAGGTAGAAGGACAGAGCATGTTTTATTTAACAGTTTGTTAGCTTGTTACATTAATTTTAAATATTCAGAGAAAAGGTATATGGGCTTCCTTTTGTTCTCTTGTTCCAAGCACCACAATGTTAAATCAGGTCTTGCAAGAGAAAAGGCTTAGAGGGGCAGCAGGCTTCAAATCAGGACCCACTTGTATGCCAAGGTGGGAGTGCTGGATTTTCCTAAAGGCAATGAGGAACCCCTAAAGGTTGTGCCACCAGGTAAGAGACACAATCAGGTACCATGGAAAGAACACCCTGCAGCTGAGCAGGAGAGTTGATTGGATCAGCCCAAAAGCGTGGTGAGAATAGAAGCAGAGAAACTTTCTCCTTTGAGTTCTTGCTAAAATGACTGCTCAGTGAAGTCCTCCCTGATTAAAACTGTTACCGTCATTTGGTACTCCCTGCCCCCTCCTCCCCTAATTTATCATCTCCTTAGCACTTATTACCATCTGGATAATATATTTTATTCATTTGTTGTTCATCTTTCCTCACCAGGAAGTAACCTCAATGAGGGCAGGGATTTTTGTGTTCATTTTACTGCTGGATTCCCAGTGCCATATGGTGCCTGATGTGTAGGAAGACTCAACCCACTGAGGAGGTAGAGGCAGCAGTTCAGGGTGTGGATACTAGAACCAAACTCCCTCCATCTGAACCCAGCTCCACCATTCACTCGTTGCAAATCCCTTATGCACATTACTTTTAATCTCTATGGGCCTCAATTCCCTCACTGTAAAATGTGAATAAGAGTTGTAACTGCCTTAAGGGGCTGCCTTTAAGGTTAAGTTTGTTAATATACAGAAAGCACCCAAATGGTGCCACACAGTCTGTGGTACATCAGTCTTAGCTGCTGCTGATATCCCTCCCAGGGTCCCTTTATTGACTATTTCGTTCTCTAGCTCCTTGCATATTGTACCTGTCAGCTTATACCTGCCACTTTCTCTGAAACCTGCCTTTGGCTGATGGCACTATTTCTTCAGCAGAGAGCCAGGCAGTTCCCACCCTACCCCAGGGCTGAGAGTGCCTCTCTTACACAGGTGTCATGAAGTCTGGCCCCACTTCCTCATGGCAGAGAGACTCTGATATATGCTCAGAGTCTGCCCAGGTCCCCAGTGAAGCTACAGCAAGACTCTCTGAGGCCA